ATCTCCCTCTTGCATTTTGTCAAGGGGCTCTTGCGAGCACAATGAGCCGATTCTGCCCCAAAGCAGATGTGGGCGTCTGAAGTTTCCTTGATTTTTTTTTTTTTTAACATGGGGGTGTGCCAAGCTGAGGTACCGCAACAGCCGCCTTGCCAGTGACAAACCGCAGCAGTGCCAGCACATGGCCTGCTCCACATTAAAAAAAAGAAGTTGTGGACAGATGTATCAGAACGAGCCACTTATTTTTAAATGTGGTTTTTAATGTTTTTACACCACCTCAGCTATGAAAAAAGGCAAGTAAGGTTTCTTGGGTGGTTTAAAATCTTAAGAGTGGGCAAAGTTTTTATATGTGTTTTCTGTTTGTTTTGGAAATCTCTGGAAATACTCCTCTGGAAAAGAGCAGTCCTCACAAGGCACGGGAGAGCAGGGTGGCCTGCAGCAGAGGGTAACCCTGCCCCGTCACCGCAAAACGTGTAACTTCCAAATGTCGGCATGCCCCAGTTCCCGAGGAGCCAGCTCACACCAACCCCTGCTCCCCTGGGGGCTTCCCCTCAGCTCTGCACCCCAGCTATGCTACTCCCCTCCTGGGTTCAAACCCGAGGTGCCTTTAGTCTCTTCTAACAGAGTACCTGCCCAGTCCAAAGGCTGAATTCTTCTAGAAGACACTCCAAAATTTAAGATTTTTCCTCTCACAGGAGCTTAAAAACAAAAACCGAAGCATTAGCCGTGACGAGCAGACGCCAGCCCTGCTGCACAGGCTCTGCGCTTCCTGGAGCGGTGGCACCCAGCAGCGTGTCGTCAGGGCCCTCTAGTGCCAGCGGACACATCCCAGCACCCGTGGAGGAACTCCCACACGCCCAGAAATGAAACCACACATAGCTGCAGTTTGCGGGCGGACGCGCTGCCCCACATTTGTATACGGCATCGATACACAGACTGATCTGCAGTTCTTACAGAAACATTAAGACCAAGGCAATGTTTTCCACTAAATTCTGTAAAATATTAGGCAAAACTATACATCTTCCAAAAAAAAAAGTGCAGCCCTTCCAGTACCGGAACAGCAGGATTTTCTCTCCGGAGAGAAGCCGCTGAGTTCTCCGCAGGTGAGCAGTCTTCTTCACTCTAACATTTCAAACGCAGTCGTGACAGGACGCAGGCTGCTGAAACGCCCACATCCCAGCCGTGTAAGCACTACGAGAGTGGCTGTACACACATGAACAGTGACACGTTGTGTGTAAGTTGTGCGTATCTTACAGCTTCATTTAGTAGTGCGCAGGATCCTACTAATAGCTAGAGTAATTGCACCGCAGATTTAAGTGGAATGAGAACAACCTTTACAGTCAGTTTAGGCATTGTTTGCTTTCTTCTCTGACTCTTCCTTGTTTGGATCCTGCTTCAACTTGTAATCAGCCAAGGCAGCCTTGATCGCGTCTTCAGCCAACACTGCAAACAAGACAAGTATTTCAAGGACAAGAAAACATCATTTAGAACAAAAGATGCCGTAAAAGCAAGAGCAACCAGCAGCGACCACCACTGCATGGAGCACCAGTTTGAGAGCTCAGTCAGCATCTTGGAAGTAGAGCCTCAGAATCTGAACTCTCATCATCATCAGTCTGCTGAGCTACAGAGTCCAAAAGATGAGAGATATCTGAAAACTCTTTAAATAACCCCGAAATCCGAACGTAAACACAAGTTTCTCTTGCAGGCCAACCTTAGCTCTTCCTTGTGCAGAAACTTTAGTTGGAAAACAACACTCAGAAGCATCTGCGCTCTTCCCAGAAGTCCCCCTCTCACAGACAAGCCTGTGTTTGAACTTTCACTGTTTGGTCCTTTACTTACTAGAGCAGTGCAGTTTGACTGGAGGAAGGCAGAGTTCTTTAGCGATATCCGTGTTCTTGATTTGCAACGCTTCGTCAACCTGAAATGCAGTTAGTGCATAGTCATTGGTGACGTCAGGTACGACACGGGCTACGGATGCAATTGCTGTAAGAGTGCTTTAGCCAACAGAATCCACATGGAGGAATAGCTCAACTGCCGGGGCAGTGAAGGGTGCCGGAATTAAAGAACGTCTCGGGCTGAGGAGTGGCGGGAATGAACCAAAGCAGACCAGCGTTACACTAAGTGCCACAGGGGGGACTGTTCATAATATAGAAAAGGATTTCTTGTCTGGCAGAAAAAGAGTATAAATAATCTAAAGGCACTCTGTAACTAAACTTCCTTTCGGAACCCATGACCAGCATGTTTTTGCTTTCTGCGTAAGACACAAATTACTTCCCTGCAGATTAGTGGAAGTTCTCAGAAAAGGCAACTACTGCTCTCAGGTCAGACCACTAGCAGGGCTGACAGTCGCTGCTTTCTAAGGTACTGTACCGCACCGCATGAAGTCAGTACTGGGATTCATAGGCCAACAGAGAACACAAGCAGGTTTGAAGCTTTGAAGGCTCTCCCCTGCGTCACCTCTGACTCCAGCACGGACCCTTACCGTTTTCCCTTTGACCCACTCCGTCGCCAATGAACTCGACGCAATCGCTGACCCGCAGCCAAAGGTTTTGAAACGGGCGTCGATGATCCTCCCGTTCTCGTCCACTTCCACCTGCGAGAACATCGGTGGCACCTCAGCGGGCGGCTCAGCTCCCACCAGGCGCCCCAGAGC